AAGGAAGGAAGGAAGGAAGGAAGGAAGGAAGGAAGGAAGAGAGAAGGGGCACTATGCCACTTGGGCTAATGGTATTCTCCCCTCTCTGGAAGAGCCTCAGATTATCTAGCAGACAAAAACCCGGGCATGAGAAACTTCCTTTTAAATTATTGGTTATGGGAGTCCAATAGACTTCCAAAATAATATAGGCTACTGCTGTTACACTTGCTGCCTCCCAGAGGCCGAAGATACCACACATCTAGGACACAAAGTTTGAAGGACTCGAGGTGCATCTGGCCTCACAGCTTCCTCCCTGAAATCTGCTTTCACAGTCCCAGAAGGTGTCATCTAAGCTGCTAAAGGAGGGAAGCAACCAACCATCTTACCCAGCTATGATACTTGTAAACCACAACAATGATAAGCATAGCAAGATATCCCTAAAGGTGCAATAGTGACATTCCTATCTTGGTGGTAACCAACAGCTGTCTAATTAGACTCAAGGCCACCCACCTCAACAGAAAGAAAACAACACCTGCTCCTGGACACCTATCCAAGTTCCCAGGACTGGTGAGGTATTGATCTTAGAGAAGAATCTACTACTGATGCCTCACTAAACCAACATAGTAATTCCTAACTACATTTTAAAACTTATTCTTATATCTACAGCTAAGTGTAATTCCCACCTTTCATCAAAGAAGCTTCACTTGCAACAGGTAAAGAGTATCAGAGAAAACCATAAATGGTCAAGATGCAGAAACCAAATGATCAAGGGGTATCCACACCTAGTTGCTATATCTATGACACAAGAATTAATTACAATAAAGAGAACCCCTTAAAGGAGAGGAGAAGAACGAACAAAAGGGTAATGAAATACATGTGACATGAAAGCAGAAGGGGAGACTTAGGGAAAGAAGAAACCAGCATGAAAGATATGGGGAACAAAGGAGAGTAATGGGCAAGGCTGATGAATTAGAATAAAACATAGCTACACAGAGGCATGACAAAGCCATAGTAATCTCATTACTTTCTATGTTAGCTTAAGAATCAATTTTAAAAACACCCTAGAAATGGCAACTGCAAATGAAGATTTAGAAGAGAGAAAGAACAAATAATTGTGATAGGAAGGAGTCAACACTTTTTCTGTAATGTAACAGACCATAAATACATACCAAGCATGGTGGCCCACACTTGCAATCCCAATGTATGGGAGGCTGAGGCAGGAGGATCATGAGTTCAAGGCCAATGTGGGTTACATATTAAAACAGAGTCTCAAAGAAAATCTAAAAAAAAAAAAAAAAACCATGATTTCGTGATAATCAACCATGTGCTGGCAATGTAAATACAACATACATTGTGTAAAACCATGAGTGTAGCTGTATATATTTAATAAAACTTTATTGCTAGCCAAAATAAGGAAGACTAAGAAGAAAACCTCAGTAGTTTTTAAGTCTTCTTCTAGTAAATGCTTTCCTAGGGCAAATTATTTTTTCTAACCTATTTATATAACCTCTAATAACTGGAAGGCACATGTTTGAGGTGCAAGGAGATAATTGTCCTCTAGTAGCAAGAGGAATATGTTTTCCCCAAAGCTTCTAATTAGATAAACACCTTCTGTGTTATCAGCTAGTTGTGGAGAGTTCATGAAAAGTTAGGTTGACTCCATGCTCTCCCACAGAGACTAGCTCAAATAAGGGTTCATTTCCAATTGTGCAATGATGATAGCATTTTCAATATGCACAAACACACACAACTCATGGAAAAAGAAAATGAGAAGAGAGGACTGGAACTCCAGCAACAACAGACGGTCTTCCATCAGTATCCAAAGATAATGTGGCAGAAACTACTGTGCCTCACTAAAATTATTTTTAATGGAGACAAAGATGAAGTCATCGTCTCCCCTTTATCATATGAGACAATTCCTGTTGAGTCTTCTCTTACCTTTTCACTTTTTTCTGAGTAATTTCGCCAACTCCTTTTTTTGTCCTTTTGGAAACATGGCTTCTAAGCTCTATATTGTCTTCCTTTGACTGGACACATTGACCATGAGATGCCTACAAACAAACAAAAAAGAAAACAGTAAATTAAGAGAACCACATATTATTCAATATATGGTTCTTATAAGAAAGTCATGACATGTTCCCCATCCTAGACAGTTTATTTAGATGTTCCCAGGAGTCACAATCTAAAAATTTTATAACAGATATGGCACTGGGCCCACCAACCACAGTGGGAACTACACTAAGCAATCAGTATGATAATACTAATACATATCAAAAAAATAGCAGCCATAAGTGTTCCCAAGAGACGTAGGATATAGTTCTGATTTCCATACCAGGGGTACTAGCTCATGAATAACTGACAAGATATTTTGTCTTATGTTCTCGCTTTAAATGTACAGAAGAGGCAGGAAACATGACAAAACCTACTGTCAAGTTTTGCTAAGAACAACTAGCTACTCAGGGTACTATAGCACTAATCTACTTATGATACAGCCATCACATTTTGTCAAGTGATATTTATTTAATATTTGTCTGAAGAATCTACCATATACTAATCCTGACTACTCTATTAAACAGTAGGAGAAATCACAAATCTGAATGATGTCAGTAAAGAGTCAGAATAAAAGTTATACCTTTAAAATGAAACAAATGAGCCCAATTATATTTCAAATATATACTATTATTATAATCACACTAAATGAAAAAAAACAAAAAAATACAAGGAGCAACTGATTTAAGTAATTTATAAGTACATTACTTGGCTATATATCCTTAGTCAGGATGGGTTTCTGTGCAGTGGATATAATGAATAAATATGAAACATGTTTAATAGCTTTGTTTTGTGACATAAATATAGAAGAGTTGCTTTGTAACCTCTGCATTACAGTGCTGAGTGAATGTATTGATGTTCTCACTTCATGTCCTAAAATAAGAGATATAAGGGAAATGTTTTGCCTTTCTGCCATTTGAGGACACAGAAAATTGCATTTATGATTAATGATTCCCAACCCAATACCAAATCCACTGGCATCGTTGTTTTGAATTTCTTAACTTCTAAAACTACAACTACTAAATTTCTAATGTTGGAGCTGGAGAGAGATGGTTCAATAAGTTAAAACACTTGCTGCTCTTTCAGAGCACCTGGGTTAGATTCCCAGTACCAACATGGCAGCTCATAACTACCTGTAATTCCAGTTCCAGAGTATGTGATAACCTCCCTCCTCTGGCCTCTGCAGACACCATAAAAGTGAAATGCTTATACATATTAAAAATAAATAACATTTAAAAGTTGTATTATTTGTATACGTTATTCATAGTTTCTTGTAGCAGTTCAAATGCATAAAAATAACTTGTCCCATTCCACATGCTCCTGTCAGAGATTCTATATGAGAAGGACCAAGGGAAGTTACACTAAGGCAGACTGTTCTTCTGATTTGAGTATCTACCATAGTTCAGTCAAGTTCCTTGCTTAATAGAGTAGGAAATTAACCTAAAATTACAGGTATAAGATGTATGTGTGTGTGTGTGTATTGCATATATATGAAATTATCCAAAATTAATATATATGTTATAATCTGCATGAAAAACAGATTGTTTTAACAGACATTCAAAGTGGACAACTTTGCTTATACAATCATTCTCCATAGGGTCAGACATGATCTGATAGAGGTATTTTAACAGGCACAAAAATACTTTACAGTAAAGAACCAGGCTTTGCTGTAGTCTAAGTGAAGTAGACTTTAAAATCTATGCTGGATTTCATCTGTTAAGTAGACATGCTTATATTATCTATTCTCTGGGGTTTTAGCAAGAATACATGGGTTAATACAATGAAAACTCCTTAGCCTAATTACTCAAGACATCATAACCACTCACTAGGTATCAATTATTATGATTTTCTAAGACAGTGATTCCTTTTGTCCTTTTCTTTACATTAAATTACCAACATTCTATTATTTCTGATTTTTCCTAACATCTTAACTTTATTCAAAGTTAGATGACTCTTTTTGGCATACCTATACAGCAAACTCTGAATTCTAGTTGTTAAGTCTAAAACATGCCCCTAAAACTCCTGGATATGAATCATTTGCCTCTGCTGGCTTCTACTACCCACCACATTTGACTACAAATTTTAAAGTCCATCTCTTCAGCTTCAGTTTTTCTCCTCTACCTGCTCAACCCACTTGTCTCTCTTCACCTACACAGTATCTTCCCAGAGCTACCTGCTCTGTCTCTCTTGCTTGTTCAACAAGAGTCTTACTGGTATCCCACAGAAGGGTTGCTATCAGGCAAACAAAACCCTAAACTCAACATTCCTCAGAAATCTCGTGAAGCAGATTTCTGTTTGTCAGGAAAAGCCAATACGTCCCTTATCCTCCCCCAATGGTCAACTACGGGGGGCAAAGGGCATCTAGTTCCTGATTAATACAAGCATTCTGTAACAGATCAAAGTTTCCATGCTAAATCCCAGGCTTTCCTTGTCTGTACCTCACTATTCACCACTACTTGTTCCCATAAAACTGACAAGGTTTTCTCTGCCACCTATTTTCCATTTTCTGCCCCTAAGAGGCAGCCTAGAAGTGTGGTTCCCCCAAAAAACTGTCTTTCTACTCATGGAGTGGTTTAGTTTGGTAGTTTTGCTGTGCCTTCACATGCATATGATGCCTAAACCTGGGAGAGACACTTGGGCCCTGGAAGCCCAGTCCCGCTATAACCAAACCAAACTATCAACTTGGCCCTCCTGGGTACCTTTCAATTGCCTCCGCTACCCACCACATTTGACTCCAAAATGTAGAGTCTGACTCTTCATCTGTTTTTCTCTTCTACCTGGTCAACCTACTTGTCTCTCCTCCCCTACTCAGTATCCTCTCAAATCTGCCTCCCTCCCTCCCTCCCTTCCTCCCTCCCTCTCTTTCTTGCTCACTTAACAAGTCTTACTGGTATGCCATGCAGCTTCCCTATACCCTTTTGGTGCTCCATCACATGGCCAAGGGCCTTCTTGTGAAGCAGGTTCCTGTTTGCCAGAAAAAGAAGCGCCTGTCCACATGATCATGGGCATCTCTTTCACAAATCTCAATCCCTTGCAAATGACTTCAGATTGAGACTTTGTCTTATGTAACAACAGAGGTTACTATTTTTTATCTAATGATATTTAAATTTTTAATCAAGAGAAATCTATGTGTAAAATTAATTTGGCTAAATGTAACCACATATGTTTACCTCTCCGAAGGTTTTTGGTTTTGTTTACTAAAATATTCTGCCATTCAAAGTCATGGATATCTTTGAAGCCTCTACAGAAATGCAAACATTTTTATCTTGGGATTTGTAAGATCATTGGGAGTGTGGTTTAAAGAAAAATCTGTAAAATCCCACACAGAGGAAAAGAGTGGCTAAAACTCACAACAGAAAAAGGTTGATAGTGAAAAATCTATGTTCTATATAATCTTAATTTGCTACACCATACCACATATGCAACTACAATTCAACTCTTATTTAGGAAAATAGATTTTTAAAATTTAGAACAAGGAGGAAACATCAGCTCTCCAAGATGGTTTAGTTTATTTTATTTTCCTTAGACGAAGAAGGCAACACTAGGCCTCTAAGATATTTTGCATAAGACTGAAATGTTTGATGATTTCTGTCTTAAGAGTGAAAAACAACAGATGAGGACAAAACCACAAACAAGGTTTATGGAAAATAGGACTTAGGAACAACATTTGTTTGATGATTAAGGTTTATAAAATTCTAAGGTTCTAACAGTCTCCTCACTTTAACAGAAACTGACCTAAAGATGTGTATCTAATCACACATCTTTGCTAATTGTGGTAGGTTTTAGCTACTTTAAAAAAATGTCATACAAAAATAAAACCTGTTATATTTTTAAAAGTATACTATAAAAGGATCTAGAAAATGAGGTTCCTAGTTTCTCTATGGACTATATTTACACTTCGACATTTATTTTTATACTAAAGGATCTTCAATTTCGAAAGTCACAATTTTTATGACTCAAACTTAACATGAATAAAATTATGAAATCCTAATCTTATAAAAGTTACTATTATAAACAGTTAAAGATAATCAAGACAGAAAGTTAATGGTCAATCACCTTAGACATGATCAAATTCTTTAATCTGCTGAAAGCTATGTTTGTAGTCATGTTAAGTACGACTGTAATTTGTTTATAGGTACAAGCTTGCAGAGAGAAACAAATTTTATCCCCTATTTATGTCTTCTGTATATATTGTCAGTTAAGCCTGAAGCAAGTATGTGAAAGCATGTTATAAATACATTTAAAGTTTGTTTAATATAGATGATAGCCCTCAACCCCCTCAGAGATCTGCTGAATATGGCATATAAGGTATTTAATGGAAGGAAAAAGCAGGAAAGGCCACAAAATCTTCCCTTGATAGACAGAAATACCTGCTTCTGATTGCAGCCTTGAACCCATTTCCAAAGAAAATAGGGCACCAATGGACTCTACCTAAGATCTGCTTCAAATGTGGCAACACCAGTCACTGGATGAAGAATTGTACCTCACCTCACCTGCCACCAGGACCCTGCCCAAACTCTGGACAGGCAGGATACTGGAGGATCAACTGTCTTTTGCCTAACCAAGGTAGGTTAGATCCAAGATCCTCCTCCAAAGGAAAATTTCTTGAGTTTTCTAGGCCTAGTGACTGAAAACCAATGATGCTCTGGGACAGTATGTCCCAAACAAAACCATCAAGATTACCATATAAGAGCCTAGGGTAACTGTCCAGTTAGTGAGCAAGACCTTCATTTTTAATTGATATGGAGGACATTTGGTCCATACTTCCTGTTACTCCAGTAAAATTTATCTTTCTCAGATCTCTGTGATGGGGTTGATTGCTAGCCCCACCAGCCTAGGGCTATAAGTCCTCTCCTCTGTAGTTTGATACACACAAGAGGTAGTTTTGATTGTCACTATGACCAGGCTAATTATAGAATTTAAATCCTGGGAGACAGAGGTGATGGTTAATCCTACAGAAAAGAAACATAGTCTTCTCCAAAAGTCACAGAGTGCTTGAATTGAAAATGTTACCCTGGACTATAATTATCCTATCATAATTCATTTCCAAAGCCTAGGAAGCCATTTCTGGATTTTAAGTAAATATAATATCTCATAGTTTTTGTAGTTATTTAAAATTCCATATACTAGTCCCTGCTTACTGGCTCCAGAGGACACATAAATTGACCCAAATGGCATATGACAGTAAGAAGAGCCTTTGTAGTATGATACTGTGTCACTGATACCAAATAAATTCTGCTGTCAGCATTCCAAGAGAGTCAAGGTCTGCTGATAAACTGGAAAGATACCTTAAGGCAAAGAACATCTAAGGCTTCTGTAAAACTACAGAAAAGAACAGGGTTAGCATACTCACATTCGTGACATCTTCAAATGCTGATCTCTTTTTTACTGTGCCTTGAGATGAAGACGAAGATGCTGTGTGGTTACTCTTTCCAATCTATAAAAATAAGAGACAAATGGGCATGGACAATCGTAAACAACCCCTTTATGAACTTTGGGTCACATTCAGGGGTGTGGATAAACATCACTATGTCTAAGTAACTGGGATATGTATAATAAATCCTATGAATTACAGTAAAATATTTTAGTATCCAGAGATGTTTAAACAGTTGCTGAAGAATATATTCATTGATAATAGGGACATGAAGATATTACATGGTCTTCAGTAAAAAAAAAATTTAAAATGAGTAAAACAGCTTGGTGAAACTGATTTATTCTCTTCTTCTCGAAATTGTAGTTATACTATCCAGGATTAAATATCATCACTAGTACTGAGTCTTTCAATAGGAATACCTCCAAGTAAGTTAGTTAAATAACACAAGAAATTAATGTCTCTTATGCTAATTTAACTTTAATACATATTCAGTAGAGACAAACATAGCTACTAGTCCAAATTCAGCTCAATATATTTTTAAAAAAATATTGACCTTGGAAGAGTCACTTAATCTATGAGACTCAGTCTAATGTTCTCGTTAGTAAAATTGGAATTATAACCTCCCTTACCAAGTCTTTATGAATTACAAAAGAAAATATACTTTTAAAAGTGTTTTTTGCTGTAATTGTGCTAACCATTGAACTCAGAGCCTTACATAGCCTAAGCAATGTTTCTACTATAGAATACATTTTTTCAGTCTATATAAATTGTAAATGGAAAGAAAAAGTACTTTAAAACTATGTAGTCTTGAATGATTGTAAACATCACATGAAAAATTTTTATTTTAAGAAAATAGTTTGTTAATACAGATTCTCTCTAATGCTATTTGACATGTGAGAGTCATGGCAGAGAAGATAAGTGATCAAGCAGAGAAGGAAGCCACTACCGGAAGCAACAAAGATTTTCTTTCTTGGTACTGCACATGCTTTAGCCTACTCCCAAGTGACTAAGACTATCTCTATGGGTTGGAAGTTAAGAGAAATCACTCTTGTGGCATTTTTCTATCCTTTAACAGTTTCTTTTTGGTGAATATCTATTACATCTCAGATTTCTCTTTTCCAATTCTAAGAACAAACTCTGCCTTACCTATATAAAAAAGTTCTTTAAATTATTAAGCAGAACACTGGGATATGACCATTAGTTTTGTGCTAACTACATCATTAACAGCATATAACACAGTAAGTGCTCAAAAACTTGTATTCATGATGAAATATACCATTCCAGCCAAAGACAGCAATTCTAAGAATTATTTCCATTCTAGTTCATCTTTATCTTATGTGTAATATCTAATCCTAGTAGAAATAATTAGCAAATGATAAAACATCACTTTTCTTTCAAACAGGCTAAAAAATAAAGTTTGTCTTCTAATTCTTACTTGCTATCACTGTTAAAAAATAATCTCAATATCAAACTAACAGTAGAAACAGAACTCAATAAAACTTATACTTACAAAATGAGTCCAAAGAAAGTTGGGATAGGAAAAATAATAGCCATAAAAGCAAACTTACAATGTCATAACTACAGTAAAGAACATTTGATACAAACAAAAGCTCAATTAAGGTATGAAATCTTTCTTGATAAATTTACATGGGAAAATGTCTGATTCCGTCCATGAAAATCATTTTACTAAGACATAGTAAAAATTAATAGAAGATGTTTATCTACACATAAAAAGTCTGCATTGCTACAGATTGAACACAGGACCTCTGCCAATGAGCTATGTGTCCAGCATGATCAAAAAATTATACTGGCATAATGCTCTCTCCTTTAGACAACTATCCCTGATGATAATTTATAAGTGTTAATATAAGTATTGTTAAAATATATATGATTATGAACATAGAATATACCAGGTCAATGTTAAACTACCCCAAAGTCAAATCAGGCAAGTTTAAGTGTACTGATAAATTCTTGAAGTTTAATACTGGTTAAGTAGCCTATATCCAACATGTTTGGGACTAGAAGTTTCTTGGATTTCAGCTTCTATTCATTTGAAGTACTTACATACACATAATTAAATATCATCAGGATGGGACCCAGGATCTTTCTTTTTAATTATTCTTTCTGAAAGATTTATTTTTTACTATTTTGATTAATATATATTAATATATATATATAATGTATGTATGTATATAAAATGTATGGTATGTGGATACGATTGCAGGTACCCACAGAGACCAGGATCGCCTGGAAAAGCAGTAGAGTCCACCTCCAGTAGAAAAACAGGGCATCAGGCAGGAGAGATAGGGTTGCCATCCCACAGTCAAAAACCCTGACCCAAAATTGTTCCTGTCTAAAAGAACTGCAGGGACAAAAATGGAAGAGACTGAGGGAAAGGAGGTCCAGTGACAGGCCCAACTTAGGATCCATCTCAAGGGGAGGCTTCAAGGCCTGACACTATTACTGATGTTATGGTGTGCTTACAGACAGGAGCCTAGCATGGCTGTCCTCTGAGAGGCCCAACAAGCAGCTGAACAAGTCAGATGCAGATACTTACATCCAACCAATGGACAGAAGCCAGAGACCCCTGTGGTTGAATTAGGAAAAGGCTGGAAGAAGTTGAGGGGAGGGTGACCCCAAAGGAAGACCAGCAGTCTCAACTAACCCAGACACCTGAGATCTCTCAGACACTGAGTCACCAACCAGGCAGCATACACTAGCTGGTATGGGGCCCCTAACACATATACAACAGAGGACTGCCTAGTCTGGACTCAGTCAGAGAAGATGCACCTAACCCTTGAGAGACTTGAGGCCACAGGGAGTGGGGAGGCCTGGTGGGGTGGGAGTGGGGGGTGGGGACATCCTCTTGGAGACAAGGAAGAGGAGGAATGTGATGAGGAACTGGTGGGGGGTGGACTAGGAGGAGGATAACAACTAGACTGTAAGAAAAATAGATTAAGGATGAATATTTAAAAAATCTAAGCAATCTTTCCAGTATCAAAATTTATTTTAATTACGTGCGTGTGAGTGCTTCTACACATAAATGTAGAAACCCACAGAAGCCAGAAGAGGGCTTCAGATACCCTGGAGCTGGAGCTACAAGCTGTTGTAACCAGCCAGGTATGGGTGCTGGGAATTGAACTCCAATCCTCTCTAAGAGCAACGAGAGGCCTTAACCACCAACTCATCTCTCCAGTCTTTCTTTAAAAAAAAATTTTCACTAGTGTATATTCACTATTCAAAGCAATGCGTTTCATATTGATATTTTGTTTAACTATATCAAATACTTTGCTATATTTACTCGTCTATTACCCTCCCCATTCCTACTGCCCAAATTCCATTTGTACTGTACATATACCATATAAAACCATAGCCTGAAGGCAATTTTATATAATTTTAGTGGCCCAGCATTTTTGCATGTATGTTGTTTGAATATGTACATATGCATATATATAATATGTATGTGTATGTATACATATGTGTGGGTACACATGTGTGCAAGTATGTACATGTGCTAATGTGTACCTGTGCATATTGAAGCCCAAGACCGACATCAGAGATGTCTTTCTATCACCCTCACCTTATTTAGAGGCAGTCGAGTTGAGTCTAGAGTTTGCCTATACAGTTTGCAGTGGAATTGCAGGCAAGCAGCCATGTCCACTCAGACTTTTATGCAGATGCAAGGAATTCAAACTAATCTGCATGTTTGCACAGCAATTGTTTTAACTACTGTGCAACCTCTTTGGCCCTTAGTATGCCTGCAGTTTGACTGTAAACTCCATTACTCAAGATTAAGTATAGAATTTTCCACTTGCCGAATCAGGTCACCATTCAAAGGTTTCAGAATTTGAAAAATTTAAATAATGAACTTTCAAATTCTGAATACTCAATTATTATTCAAAAATATGATAATATTTTCCTGACAGAATATACTACCAAGAATGTACTACAGCCTCCTGGTAAGATACTTGGAGTTCTTCCAGTCTGGGCCCGAGCATAGAGCAGGTCACAGGCGACAGCTCTGTACCCAACCCCAGAAAACCAAGAGAAAGAGGGACTCCCAGGAGCTTTAACTCAGGCAGCACCCCAGGTAAAAATGAATCACTCGTGATGTCTGCTGTTAGAAGTTCTAATCCAGATGCTGGCCTCCGAACTTATACTACTCAGACCTTTGAAGGACCACTGACAAGAACATCAAACAGCTAGAGATTGACATCACTAAACTGAAGAAATCCCTCGTTTCGCCGTCTGAAGAGACCTCCTAAAATCGCAAAGATCCTTATTGGACTTGATTTACTCTATTACAATAGAAAAGGCTGTGTACAGCTCTTGACTGTGTACAGCCCTTAAAGAAGAAGGTTGCCTTTACATAGACAAGACAAGGAGGGTTAAAGAGAGCATGAAATAGGTCAGTGAAGGCCCTAAGAAAAATGAGAGAGAGAAAGAGACAGATGAAGGCTGGTACAAGAATTGGTTTTCAGCCTCTCCAAGGTTGTCAACCCTATTTCCTCCCATCTTGGGACCATTATTTGGGTTCTTTTTGCTTTTTTCTGCTGGTCCCTGGCCCTCAAATAGGCGGACTAACTCTGTGATACAACAGATAATTTGGTAGCAAAACCTACTCAGATACATTATCATAAGTTAGCTATGGAGGACCACGAGACTCAAGATGAGGTTGTTACTTTATACAGGGTGTTCCCAAAACCCATCTCCACCCAACCTAAAAGGGGGGACTTCTGCCCCTAGACCAAGCAGAGAGGGGCCACCCAGAACCCCCTCTGACAGGCAACCTGAATTCTTGCTTAGGCTGCGAGGCTAAGCACTGTAAGGGAATATAAATAAAAGTTAAAAATATCTCTCTGGGTTCCCTGAGGGACAAGCCTGACTGCATAGGGATTGATGTCAAAAGTATCCCCTCTCCAGGAAAAAAACATTGGGATAGGTATGGCTCTCATGCCTCACTGGACAACGACAGGGGGACCGGAGCCATTACAAGGTCCCCTTCAATTACTGGAGGTCAGGCCTTTGCAAGATTAGAATTGCCACAGTCCTTCTATACTTAGAGAAGGGAGGAAATCTCAGGGGCAGCCCTGCTTACCCACTGAAGGCCTAAAATCAGCCATAGGCGTAAAATCAGGAATAGACCTGTCATACATGTATACTAACACAAAGTCTTGGATCTCAGTGGGGAAACATTGAAACAGATGGCTATAAGCTAATGTCAACAGGCAGCTTTTGTGGAAATTTACAAGCCTGAGTAGCCATAGACCTTGTAAATAGGTAGCCTTGGCAGACAATACCAACTTAGATAAGGACAAGTGAATCATAGACAGAGTCATAGTGATCTGTCCCCTGAACCTTCACCCAGCCAATACCCGGTTCTGAAGATATCTGTATTCCCCCTGAACACCCACACTCCAGTGTCATTCCATTCCCCACATCCTGCCTTTCTGTGTTTGTAACCCCTGTGTGAATGAATTACGATTTGAGAAAAAATAAATTTAAAATAAATAAATAAATAAATAAAAATGCAAATTAGATTACAATGACATAAAATACCATGAAAACCCTTAGTACTTGCTTATTTAAGAATTCTTACATAATTTCAGGATCACCATAAACTATAACAAGCTCCTAAAAACTAGGTTTATGCTCCTAGTGAGAATCAGGAGATCATTTTGTCCTATGAACACCCCGACTTTTGGTAACATGCCTTAATAAGATTTCTTGTCTTCTTTTTCATTCTCCTACTAAAATATAATCTAATATGCTTTTAAAAAGATACTTGGAGTTTCTAGAAGTATATAAACGTATAAACATGATCAATAATGAGAACTCAACATTGTTTGGCTTTGAAAGATGTGAAAAATGACCTTTACTTAATCCATACATATTTAAATGCTAGTAGAATTTATAATTTTTGCTTAAGTTACTTTAGAAAGACAAATGGGATAGAACCTAAGGCCTTGCATATGTTAGGCTTACCTGAACCAAATCATCAATTCCTAGCTCCATGTTCCAACTTGCTGGTATCCTTCAACTACAAGAATTACTAGAAATTCTCACTTCCTCAGATTAATACAGACATCATAAGTGATTCAGAGGCATGGATAAGCACTAAACCAACGCATAAAGAGACTACATGAGACACTATTGGAAGAGATCATTTGCTTTTTAACCTTTTCAGATTGCTGCTCCTCTCTTGGTGTGATCTTGTTAGACTGAGCGTTCTCAGTCTCCAGTTTGGATTTTTTGGGTAGTAGTGGTGGCGGCATCTTTACGCAGATTCAGCAGTGTTTCCTCCAACACAGAGCTGCAATCAGAAAGAAATGCTTTAAAATTTCATTTACCAGAAGTACTCTAGAAACTTTAGTTTATCTATCACATCTCTAGGAAAATGCATCACCTAAGACTGAGTAATCTAAACACAGAGCTTCGTTCTATCACAATTAACCCTGAGAAAATGCCGTAAACAGTATAGGCTTCAGCTTTCTCACCTGTAAAGAAGAAGTAACTATACCTGTTTTTATCTACAGGGTCTGTTAATTAGATAAGGGATGCCACCCTCTATAGGGGCTAAGGCTGTGGCTTAGTAGGCACAAATTTACATAAGAGTTGTACACTGAAATCATCAAATATGTAACAGCTCATGTAGACTGGTTACTAGCTGGTGGATTTGATATTTTTTGAGTCCTAGTCACAGGAATTAAGACACTAAAGAAAAATACAGGATGACTGCTTACAGCCATGTATGCATGACAGGCAAGACTACCCAAAGCTGGCATTCAATTAGAAAATACTATAATCTAGTTCTATATCTAAGTACTTTATCTAGATACCTAGATAAGAAAGTGAATAGAAAAGATAAAAGCAGAAGGAAATGAATTATTGAAAGTAACTTGTGATAAGAATTTAATAGTCACATCCCTTAGGAAAGTTCTAGCCTTGCCAGTTATAGTATAGGATTTTACTTTATATTCTAGAAGGTTCTTTTAGTTTGTGAATCCTCAGTAGTTATGATATACATATACACCTTACAAGCAGCTACATTGTTAAAAGTGATCCTTGTTTTGCTATACAAGAGATCTTTTCAACTCTGACAGAGCTGCCCTCCCAAACCCACTCATATCCAATTTGCATTTTATAGCACTAAATAAATTAAGTGAATGACTACCCCAAACAAAACATTAAGCAACACAGCTTACCAAGGGCTTTCTAAAGTACTATAAAGGCTTTCTAAAAAGCATTTCAAAGAATTGAAAGGTTGCAGTTCGAAAGAGGTAGAATGGGCACAGGTTTTAGAGTATGAGTAATCAGGCTTCTAAATTAGCTAACTTTACCATCTCCTAGTCTCAGGGAACCTCATTTGCAAAACAACTATAATGGCACTACCATAAAGAAGAACCATGCAGCTCAAATATAAATCTGTATGTACAAAGCATGCATAGTAGGGGCTCAATAAATGGTAAGTCCTACTCTCCTCTCAAATATAAACCAATTTTTAAAAATCTCATTCCCCAAAAACTTGGCCTAGCAGCAATACAGTTAGATTGGCTGCACCTATCTTTTAGCATGTTGTATGAAATCACTTATACCACTATCATTATTCTTGTTTCAAATACACTTCTATGGCTTACCAGAGTTGTATGTTATTATACCTTTATCCTTTAAAGGGAAAGATGAAATGTGGAGTCAAGAGACTAGAACAGCCTCCATTGATGACTACAGATTAAACCTGCAGAGAAAATAAAACTATGCAGATGATGGCTATACTCTTTATCCAGAATACAAAGCATCTGCTTTGAGGGATACATAACACCAACTTAGGCAAACTAATATCCCAGCCACCAGGGACAGACAGAGGAGAAAGTGGGACTACCACTCCCTAAAACATTCTTTTATAAATGGATGCTCTGGGGCTGGGGAGCTGGTTCAGTGGGTAAAGGCCTTGCTCTGCAAGTATGAGGCTCTGAGTCTGGATCCACATCAGTCATTTAAAAGCCTCTCTGAACAGTGCATGCCTATAGCCCCAGAACTAGAAGAGGGAGAACTAGAAGAGAAGGTAGAGACAGATGGATCGTCACACTCCTTGGCCATCCAGTCTAAAGAATCTGTGAGTTCCAAGTTCAATCAGATACCTTGTTTCATAAAATAAAGTGGAGATCAATTAAGAGAAGGTACTTGGACCCCTCTCTCTCCCTCTCTCCTCCCTCCTCCTCTCTGTGTACATGTTGGTAAAGGAAAGAAAAACCATAAAAGGGTACACTTGATTTCTACCACCTACAAAACCTCAATCTTTCCTTACAGAAATCGGAATGCTTTCCTGATTTTCCATCTCCCTAATTTTATGCTGATAACTGTGGGATTCTCTCTACTGTCCATTCTAACCCACACCAGGGTAGCAGAGTGAAGATCTGATCAAAACAGATTAGAGGGATGAGTAATACCATTTTATATCAAAGGTAGTTGCGCACAGCAGAACACTGAAAAGAGGGCTCAGCCTGGTGTCAGTGAAAACAGTACTGGGGTAAACAAATGCTTAGAGTTTAACTGCAACCCTGTCAGAAGTTATGTTGACAACACTGGACAATCTAAACCTTAATTTTCCAACTAATAAAACAAGACAACAAGCCCACAGCTGCCTCCATATTCTAAGAGTGATCAATGACATACAGCATTACCAACACCTGGGAGCTTTACCAACCCCCGCCCCCACTATGAAATCAAACATCTCCAAGTGATGTTTATGCATTTTAAAGTTTAAGAGGCTCTGCTCTGCAGTCCCTTGGACTGCTCACCTTCAAAGACTCTAATTGAATCTTAGCAGAAGACATCCCTAGGAAAACCAGAGATGAAGAGGGCTGAGGAAAACTCAGCAGAAATAAAAGGGATAACAAGAGAGAAGACAAGTTTCTACCCTTTAATCTGTAGTTCAAAAGGCATTTTGAAGTAGCATTCTCTGTCTTAGAAATACAGCAGGTCTCACAGCACTTGTACAAGAAACCAATTGTGTGTACTTTCACTGTGAAAGACCTTTTATAAAAGCACTCTGATGTGCCCATGTGTACTGGATCATCCATCTGAAAGCAGGAACCCACTCTCATTAGCTTTTCTATCCCATCTGCCAGTAATCACTCTCTGCCCCCCTTTGTGCTGGGTTCACTCCAAGAAGTTTTAGCTGACGAAAGAAGACCAATGTTTCCTTACAAGAAACACTGTGCATTCCAACAGAAAAAGACAGGATGCGCCAAGAAGCAGAAGTGAACACCAAGGACCAACTAGCAGGTGACAGTGCCAGACACTTGAGCTAACATTACAAACCAAAGGTGTCTATCTCACACAGAGATTAAGGATAAAGCAAGAAAGTCCTGGATAAAGAACAAAGATAGGTGTCCTCACTGACCCAGTCTGTCTCAACCAATCCTGGGCCCTCTCTTAACAGGACCCATTAGACTTTGCCCCAGGGGAAAACACAATGATGATTGGTAGCAGGGTGTCAATCAGCATAGTCAGCTACTATGATCCCCCGAAAACAAAAGGGAATGGGTATTTTAAACTGGACTCCTGAGCTAAAAAAGGGAACGGGTATTTTAAACTGGATTTCTGAGCTAATGGACCTATCATCCCTTATCAAGTCCAGTATTAAGTCCTTAAATCTTTACAAATGGCCACAAGACATAAAGTTTGGCCCCTGCTTTATGAATGACCCCTGAAGTGCAGAAAGCTAATAGAAATTAAGATGAATTCAGCCCTAGCTCTCTGCTATTACAAAATTTTTATTTTGTAATAAATATTGGCCAAAAAGATAAGTACTTATATTATTCCCATTTTACAGATGACAAAATGCAGCTCACTAACTGCCCAATATCACAAAGCTACACCGAAACACAGCAATTCTATAATACAGACATTCTCATTTATTTCATTTATATATTAATTCAGTTGTTCAGCAAATTAAAGAGCACAGGCTTTGTTCCCCAAACTAGAAAATATATAAAAGGAATTAACAAAAAGTTTACAGAATTTATAATCTGCCTAACCCTCTGAGGAGGCAAAGAGAAACCAGAGATACCAGGGATAAATCTAGGACTTTACCTACGTACAACATGTACTCTACCACAGAACCACATCTCAGGCCTCTTTTTATAATCTCCATCCATGTGACCTTCTGCAAGCATCATCACTGTGCATAACTATCTCCCACAAGGATTAAAAATTAATGAGTCACTGTGTTTTAGTCAAAAGAAGAAAGGGCTCACCAATCAAAAGCAACATAAAAATCACAAAAGAAGTAATTTAGGTTTACCTATTGCTTTCTAGCTCATCATAAAACAAAACACAATGGTACTTTTTAAAATTAGTTAGGTTTTGACATACGATTTCACTACATAGCCTGAGATGGCTTCAAATTCAGGATCGGCATGCCTCATTTTCTAAGTCCTGGGAATATAGGCATGTAGCACCATGATTGGCTCTTTCTAAAACTTAAAAATTTATTTCCCCTCGGTCATCATGCCTCAAGTTCCTTTAACCTTTTCTCAGGGTGGGAACAAAAAAGAACACAGAGAAAAGAGGCAATAGCCTTTAACTCCATCATTTTCCAATGTACCACCCCCAGGCATGCAGTATGAGCTGCCCTTTCTTTTCCTTCCTATATCCTATATTAAAGCCCAGTAGGGAAAGTTATCTATCTCACATGAAATGATATTCTAGAGGGTCTACATTTATGTGAAAATGAACTATAGGTTAAAGTAAACCATAATAAACTATATGAAAGAATATTTTTATAACTTTAGAGAAAAACTCTTAAACAACAAAGAATCCTCTTGATGGCTGAAAGGAGAACTACCACCTTTCAAATGGGTATCAAAATTTGTAAATGACAATGGATTGCTTATCAGAAACCGTGAGCCAGAAGGAATAACACAATATTTTCCAAAAACTAAATGTAGAGATCTGTCAATTTAGAAATATATGTGCAGCAACAATATATTTTAGGGATAAAGGGGGGAAAACCAAGTGTTTCTCAGATTATGGGAAATCAAGAGAATCTATTACCAATAATCTATAAACACAATGTTCACAAAATAGCAAAACAAATAAGCAAATGAATAAACGTTTTTAAAAAGCCAATAGAGGAAGTAGTAGAACAGCAAGAAATAAAACAAAGGAAAGAGCAAAAAATAACAGAGGAGCTAGAGAGATAGCTTGGTGGTTAAGAGTGCTTACTACTCTTGCGAAGGACCTGGGTTCAATTCCTAGTGCACGCTCACAT